CAAAATTAAAATATTTTCTTTTCTAACATTATTTTCTTTTCAGTGATCACATGTATATATTAAATTTTTATTCGTTGCTATATTTATGAATAAAAAATGTTAATTTTATTTATACTTTCTAAAAACATATTCAAAATATTTTAATAATTTTATTATATATATATTTTGTATCTTATTTTTTAAAATAATATAGAGGTTTTTGTATAGCTAATTAGTATTGCTATACAAAGGAAAAGGAACTTATTCTTATCAAGCCTTATATACTTGTGATAAAATTATCTTAGATTATAAACTTTTCAATCATCATATAAAAATGTATATTATTATTTTTAAAAATGTATTTGTTAACTATTTTATGTTTTTCATATTCTTCTTATAACAATCATTATTTTGTTGTTGTAGTTATTATTATTGAAATGCAGTTGTACTTTTAAAATATCGTATAGAATTTTACCATACATTGTATAAAAAGAAAACATTTAAATACGTTTTGAAGTTTGAATTATGATCGCTAGCCTGTCGGTAAAATGTTCCATTACTACATCACGTGTAGTTGGAATGCATAGATTGTTTCAATCAATTGGCACTTGATGACTCTGGAACTTTCGTAATGGGAGAGTTATGTTGTCAGACCATCCGAAAGCCGACTCTGGCGAGTGATTAGATTATAATCTGTTTACAAAGGATGTTCTTATCTACCTAGTAGTTATAGACAAGCTACTTCCATCGTGAAATATAAGTATTATTATTAAAAGTTTTCTGTATTAAAAAACTTTTGTGTATTTAACTTGTTATGTATAGTTTCTTTTTATTCATTAATATGGTATGTCAGCAGACCACTCTGGATCGATATTTGAAACATAACACCGATAACAATATGTCAATACATACGCACATTAGCAACGTAAAATAAAATCTTTTAAACTTGGATGATAGAAATATCTTAGTTTCATATCCCGAACAGATATTTTCAAGCTAGAAACATTAAAATAAATTCTGTATTAATCCTTCAAACGCACAGGTCGATTAAATGAAAGAAAAAAGATACAAATATTGGTATATTTTAAATCATTTCATTATTAATTCATTTTGTTATTTGAACTAATTATAATTAAATGTGTTTATTGCATTTTGTTATTTTAATTGCTCATAATTAAACGTAATTATTGCATTTTGTTATTCCAATTGTTTATTATTAATGAAATTTCATGCAAAGTTAAATGGAATTCAGTTGACAATTTAGTCCATTATTCGTGAAGGGTGATAGTTGAACTCTGTCCAATACTTAAACTAAATTGGAGTAGAATTGGTTGTGGGAACGAATATCGTGCACGTACCAATATATATATAATAACAACCATCAACAAATTCTTTTCTGTTTCTTGACTTCTTAATTATGTACTCATGTTTAATGAATGTATTCATAACATATTATTGATAAAAAATATTGTACGAATATCTGAAATGGAGATTGAAATTTAATGAGGCAATCTTTCATTTCTATATACTGTACATTTACAACATATGTAATGGATGTAATTTCCATACATAAATGTTTGGATAATACTATTATAGAACAAATTTAGGATTTATAGATACAGACCGTAAGGATCATGGATCTAGGGTGACATCACAATGTGATGCTCAAATATTTGTCTAGTATTTTTATTTGTTAGAGTTTGTAGTATCGTAACTGATCGTAAACTCGTAACCTCCAATTCATAAAGGTCACTAGTTTGTTATGTTCATTCAAAGTTGTGTACAAAATGCCAAAATATTCAGAAAGAATACAGGAAATATTAAGAAATGCAAGTGG